GATGGAGGGAGGCGCAGGCGTAGGAGAAGTGAGGGGCGGTGGCGGTTTGATCGACGACGGCGAGGGTGTGGTGGAGATGAGGGAAGCCGGAGGTGTGGACTAGAAGGCGTAAGTGACGGCAGCGCGAGCGGCGGCGGCGGTGGTGTGGGGGAAGTGGAGGGAGGCGGAGGCGTGGGCTCTGGGCCGGCGCGGGGGCCCCAGAGGGTGTCCATGCGGGGGGGAGATGGGGTCCCATGGCCCGCCGCAGGCGCCGATTTTTTGGAGTTTTTTCTTTTTTTCGCGATTTTTTACTTGTTTTCATGGGAATTCGGCGTACTTGCGGCCATGCTATCACGCCTTGCGACAGCCTGTCGGCGCTGCTGACCGTGCCATGCTGCACAATTGATCACCTGCATAGCTCGCGGCCTTAGTATCAAGCATTCAGTGACGACCGATCGGCCAGTAGGAAGGTGTCCTTCCAGCTGCGTGCACGCTTCTGACGCAATGCGCGTCACCTCGGATTGGCTGCTGGCACTCTCGAGGCTATGCCTACACAGCCTCGCGCGCATGGGCAGTCAAGAGGGACCACGCACCTTCTCAGGACAGCGCCGGTGCCTCTCTCTTGGACCTGCAAACTTGGTGGTCTCGTGTCACCAATGTGGGACCAGTGCGGCATCGCGCCATCGACAGCTCTGAACTGCGCCTCACCACTGACCGGGAAGGCCGCCAAGTGGGCCAGCACAGGTCGCACATTGTGGCAGCAGTCAGCAGTGCATGGCTGATAGCTAGAGCAGCAGCGTCAGGGTCGCAGGGTCGGATCGTGTCAAGCCTCTCGCCCGGCCGGCCGCGTGCAGACGTCGGCCTGTCTGCTGTCTGGAGTGATCTGTCGGCGGTCAGTACGACCGATCAGGTCGGAGTTTTCTGATGGTTGGAGGGTCTATCTGTATGTACTCCTCGAGACCTCTCCAAATCTGCCCTCTAATCAACCGTAATCATTCGGGAAGTCGGTGGTATGAGCGAGTATGAGCGCCGGGGCCCCGTTTCCGCACTGCGGCGCGGCGCACGGTGCCTCCGGGGGGCCCCGCGCCGGCCCAGAGGGCGTGGGCGAGGTGGAAGGCGGCGGCGGCGTTGAGCAGCGGCGGCGGCGGTGTGGTGGATGCGGAGGGAGGCGGAGGCGCGGGCGAGGTGGGGGGCGGCGGCGGCGTTGAGCGGCGGCGGCGGCGGTGTGGGGGAGGTGGAGGGCGGCGGAGGCGTGGGCGAGGTGGAGGTCGGCGGCGGCGTGAGCGGCGGTGGCGGCGGCGTGGGAGAGGTGGAGGGCGGCGGCGGCGTGAGCGGCTGCGGCGGGCTCGGCGACTGCCGGCACACTGTGAGACCATGGGTGTGAGGTTAAACCACGCTACCAGCGCTTGGTCACATCGGCCCCGAGGTCAGATCCTTCTACTCTGTTGATGACAAGACTTGTCTACTGGCTGCGTGGCTGGAGCCGGGAGCAGGAGGGCCCAGCGCACAACCCCTGCTCAACTCAGGGTCCACACCCCGTACACACAGAGTGGCAGACGCCCCAGGGAACGACGCGCGCATGCCTTCCCTATTTTGACCTCTAAAGACTAAACGACGCGCGAAATGTTCTTTTTTAATTCGCCCGCGCCACATTTCTTTCGTTTCCGAGACCTTGCCGTGCCAGTGCACACACTACACTACGCGACTACGCTAGCAGCTGCCCGCATGCCTCGCTGGAAGGCGAGCCGTCCGCCGCCAGCCCTTCCAGCACCTGCCGAAGGGGCCGCTCCGTGCCGCCCGCCGGCACCGTGAGCGATGCGAGGACGGCCTCTCCCCACTCGCCACCGCAAGCCGAACGCTCGTGAACACGGCGCGCCGCGACGAGCGCAGCGCACGCCTCCGCGTGGAGGGGCGCGTGGCGCGAGGCGAGGAGGAAGACCGCGAACTGCAGCGTCGCCTGCGCTCCCCGGCGGGCGGCGGCGGGGCCGAGCAGTCAGCGACGCTGCAGCGGGCCTCGGCCACGGGCCTGCGCCCCGCCTGCCCCGTCATGCCGCGCTGCAGGGCCGCCGTCGGGG